TCTTAAGTAGCAAAAAGCACATACCGCTCGCTCGCTATTTGTACAAGACGGGCAACTTCCGAGAGAATCGATACCACCACCCTTCCGTTCGAGTTAACGAAAGCGCGATGTACAGGCTGTTTCTCACAAGATGCTCGGGTAAACTCGAGGTTGCCGGATCGAAAACAAACAGGAATAAAGAGAGCTAACGTACGGTCCAAGTGGACCGATCGACATTGGAAACTTCATTCCACGCGATCCCTTAATCGCAACTTGTGAGATCTGCGCGCGATTCTTTTCGGTCCATTGATATACGTTTCTCTCTCTCTCTCTCTCTCTCTCTCTCTCTCTCTCTCTCTCTCTCTCTTTCTCTTCCTTGTTCTCTGTCTCTTTACATTTTGGTACGGGAAACTTGGCTCAGAAGGATATTTCAGAGGCATCCTGTAGGGGAAGTCCCTTCCTTCTAGGAGGGCGGAAGAATTCGATCTGCCCGGCGGCTCCCCGTACCTTCCGTGTTTCCCGGGAGCCGACGGGGGCCGAATCAAAGTCCAATTTATATTTATGAATACTTTCGAGAGCCCGCTCGCGGCTCGCCCGCCCGGAAGCCGTAGGTTTATACTCTAACATCCGGCAAACACATCGCGCATTGTCAGCCGGCTCCTCCCCGGCGCGGCGCGGCGCGGAGGAGTCGCGCGTATGACGAAAACGGTGAGATCGCTGGCATTTACTCTCTCGTGAATCACCGTGACTTTACTCCGCCGGCGTGGCAATCACGAACGGAAGAAGAGGAGGTGAGACCGAGCCGTCTCCGAGGGACGAGAAGAGGGCTGCGTGAAAGCAAGGGATGCAAGCTCCGCGCGAATCAACTGGTAAAGTTGCTGCAAACTTTACGCGCATCTTTCTACCAGGAAATAAGCGCGAGGGGCGTAACTGCTGAGTTCCAATAATAATAACAATAAAAGTACTGACAGAATCGCCGGTAAAATGATCTCTTCCGTTATCGCGGTGTCAATTTTCTTGCTCGAAGTATTTTCTCTCTCTTCAGCAATAGTCAACGTTCTTTCTTTCTGATATACGAGGATAAACCTCTGCATTGCGCGTTCATACACCCAAAGAAAAGTAGTCTATTTGTAAAGTGATTTTTCCCACAGTCTCATATTCTAAGCGAAGCCTTTTACAGAAAAAAGATTCCTATTTCGATAAAACGATTGAAGCGAATCATTCATCTAAATTTGATTAGATATTATTCTATTTTCCTCTTATTTCAAAAAGACTTCCTCTTATATCAATTAATTTTCCTCTTATATGAAGAGGAATATGTTGATTTGAATGTCAGCTTCTCTTGTTCAGTCACGCTCTACCTTCATGAACAAAAAAATAACCATGTGCTCATGAGTCAGAATATTTGGAACGCTTTAAAAAAAAACGGTATGCGTGTTGCTGTAACATATAATGAAGATAATTTAGTCATATTTGGTCAAGTATAGTTTATAATCTATTGCAAGAAGTTGAGTAATATATTCTTTCTTTTAACTATGTTTCATACAATTGGTTATGATGAATATTTTTGTAGCTATGAAGTCCATAACGAAACCGATTGGAAATTTATTTGTTATGATGATCTTATTTCACTCATGCCTACTTATAGAATTAGAAGCAGAGAAGTATATATATATATATATATATATATATATATATATATATATATATATATATATTACTTTTCGCTATAAATTATAATAATTTTTTCAAATTAACCAGTATAATCAGTAAGAATAAATAATAATCCTTTTAAAAAAAGATTAAATCATCTGTGTATAGGAGGCAATTTAATAACATATAATTCCTCTAACTTTAAGAATAATATGTTTATAATATTTTTCTCTTAATCTTAAGGGAATCCTCTTGAGGCGATATATAAGAATAAAATCTTATAAAATTTGGATAATTCCGCTTGTTCTGAGATTACTTTTTTTTTATGTATGCATAGCTTCATCATTTGAATTTCAAAATTCATCGTCGACAAAAATCGCAACGCAGCGCTACGCGAAACGGACGAATAATCCGCCCAACGCGAATGCGAAGGCCAGTGTGAAGTTGGCACCTCATTTTTTAGCACCGCAAGTTTTAACGATAGTTCTATTGGCACCCACAATAGTTCTACAGTTCCTAATAGGTTATACACGGAAAAAAAATGATGTTGTATCAACAGCATCAGTGTAATTGAAATAAATTTGGTTGACGCGATAACAATATTAATGAACGAAAAACATCTAATGCTTGTTTTAATAATTCAATATTTGATCTAATATTACTGTAATTGAAAAATTTTGTTGTATCAATCACCTATTTACTCATTCTATACACATCTTTCTTTATTATAATTATATTTAAATTAAATAACTTGCTAGATATATAATTCAATATAATGTAATCCATGTAACTATATCTGCTGTCGGCTCAACTGTAAAATAATTAAAGTAAATTAACGGTAGGGTTGACGTTAATGCGGTTAATAGATTTGCATTATTTTGTTGTTTGAAATACAATTAATTTTATCTATATATTTTATATATATTAGTACAAATGAATTATTTGTTAGATGTTACACTTAAATATTATTGATTCATACATAGTTGTTTTTAGAGAAAATAGAAATGTTTGTACATTGATTATACATCAGCTTGATGCAATCAACACAGATAATCATTGATATTTTTGTGTTTTAATTGTATCAAGCGGAGATACAATCAATATGAAACTATTTTTGTTTCTTTTAAACAAAAAATGCGTACGATTCAATAATATTTAACTATAACACCTGACACACACAATGCTGTTAATTTAACTACATAAAATACTTAAAGCAAATCAACGACACAATTAATATCATTATGATCAATATATATGCATTCTCTTGTTGATTAAAACACAATTTATTTCATCCACATATATTTTGTATGTTGGTACAAATGAATTATTAGTCAGATGTTACACTGAAATATTATTGATTTATGCGTGTTTGGATATTATTTGATCGGGACATCCCGTATTATACGATCGCGGGTCGATGACGAATCACGTGTTTCGTCCGAGCTCCTCGATTAGTTTACGCATCACCCAATCGCATGACCGCATGATCGCGAATTTCGCGAACATTCTTACGAAAGGGACCTGAGCTCACTGAACGACCATTGCGGTATCGGTCATTCCTGTCCGCGCGTGTTAGTGCGTGCCAACTTCTTTTTCATCATCCGTGCGATCGGTGGGCATAGTTCACGCGCGAGTTAATGCGTGTCTGTTCTCTTGCCATCGTTTCCGTGCGATCGGCGGACATTGTGTAATTGTGTCGTTGTGCGCGCTGCTTTCTTGCCGTCGCTATTCTTGCGACCGGCATATATTGAACATTCGTGTTTGTGCCTGCGCCTTCTGGTCGACATTGTACGTGCATTGTATATGCCTCTCATCGTCTTCTGCGCGACCGGCGGACATTGTACGTACAGTCTATGTGCACTCTTATGTCGCCATCCGTGCGACCAGTAGACACATACATTTCTTTATCCTCTAAACAAATAATTTGGGGCATTCCAATGTCCCTCAAAAAACGGTGAGCTGAGAGCACTGCAATCGGCGTTATCGTCAGAAGCGCGAGTCTCTGCTGAGCTCTTCTTTTGTTGTTTGACTGACCAGTCTGAACACGTTTTATAACGGTCGCCTTTGCTCGGCCCTTTTACAGTGCTTATGGTCTATCAAGTGTCACAAATTTGGTTTTAGTGTTTGAGTCAAAGTAAAAATACTGTCGTATTGTCGTATTATAAAAAGATTATATATGTAAGAACATTATAATGGCTGATAAAGAGACAGTCAATCTCCTGAAAGATTGGGGCTTCGAAGATAGCCTTATTCAACATTTCAAAGGTAAATATTATTATTATCAAAATGTTATTTTTAACTATTATTAGGCGAGCATATTTTAAAAATAATTAATTAAAATTAAAAATGATCTCATTTAAAATTAACTGAGTTAAGTCAAAAGTTATTAACTTTTTCACTTTATTATTTAACTTATAACTTTTTAACTGTATACTACTCAACCCTGATTATGCAGAGTGTTAAAAAAAGATTACTCAAAACTTACTGGTAGATATTTGATCATGCACGATGAATAAATGAATAATTTATTATATTATTATTTTGTTATTAATTTGATATTTGTAAAAAGTGTTTTATGTTCTACATTCATTTCTATGCACACGCCAAATTTCTTTGTACTACAGAATTACAAACTTTCAAAAATTATTGGTTTTCGAATTACTTCAACTGCATCTTGGATTCTCTGATGTAATTCTTATACATTATTTATGTATTGATTGTTAGTATTATAAATATTATTAACCTAATAAGCCTTTTTCCTTGAAGCCTTTTTTCCATCACCCTATGTATTATATGAATTATTTTTATATATTGTTATTATTATATATTTATTTTATATTTATTTTAATTAAACAAATGTTTTTGACAATTAATTACTTTTTGGTATCTGCAGCACGTGCAATTGATTTCACTCTATTGCAAAATCTAACACACGATTTAATAAAAGAATTGATTCCAACGATTGGTTTAAGGATGTGCTTCATAATGAAATGGAAGGAACATTTTCCGATTTCAAATGATGTAATTATATTTTTTTCGCATTATTACAAGACTTTTTAATTTTGTAAATAATTGTATAAATAATATAGGAACAAGACCATACAGATACCGATACAGTGAGCAATAGTTCTTGCGAATCAAAAGAAAACATTGAGCCGTCACCTTTGAAAAAACAAAAATGTTTTGTTGGAACAGATGTATAGAAGACTTCAACGGCCTACTGTCCGTGAAATATTAAAAGAAAATGAACAAGGTCGCTTGATATTACGAAGTTATTTACAAACCAAGACACTGTCGAAACATTCCAGACATATTCTTATTAAGTTATTAACCTTACATTTATTAAATACTGTTAAAGGGTAAGTTAAATGTTTTATTTTTTAGTATTAATATTTTTTAGTATTAATACATAAAATATAATTTCGTTAAATAATTTTTTTTATAATAGCCCGGTCAATAAACATGATTTTTTGCATCTTGCTCGTGGAATAATAGAAGTATTCTCATCGGAGGACATAAATTTATATTATGTTGCACCAATATCTAAAAAGGACTCTCGAAATAAAAAATCGATTTCTGTACGCGGTAAACTTGTAGACAAATATCGAAATAAATTGCGACAAAACAAACGTATACTAGCAGATATTTCTGATATTACAAGTTCTACTGATCAAGAAAGTGAAGCATCTAATGACGGTAAGTATTTCAATAGATTTTAAATGAAATTTTCCTAATTATAATATGATCTATAATTCTACTTTTAGTTACAAGTGAAGCGTTGGAGATAAGCATCAAATGGTTGGAAACTAATCGAGAACCGTGGGAAGTGGTTGAAAGCCACTGGAAGGCTACTGGAAAGCCACTGGAAGCTACTATTCGTTTGCAAGATAATCGAAACAATCGGAATACTTCGCTATCCGAAATATTAGAAAAATGGCCGATTTTAACTCATCCAATGAGCTGGTTATTAATAGTCCAGGATTCTGAAAATTTCGAATTAAGTTCGTCAGAAGACGCTATTAGTCAGTGGCCTCAATTCTTCCAAAACGTTTTAAAAGTTTATCCTCTTGAGAAGAAGAAAATTGCTCGAGTAAATGAATTATTACAAATAATAGGAAATGATCAAAGCGATGGTATGTTATTTGTATATTATTGTACAATAATTTTTATGCAGTTATAAACTTGAAAATATAATTTGTATAACGTTTTCGGAAACAGAAACCAAAGCTATTGCGCAATTGTGTGCACTGTCATACATGATTCCTCCAAGAGGACGAGTTAAAACAACAAAGAAGGGTCATTGGAAACCTTCAATGATTGAGTCTGAAGAAAATCTTGTTGTACACGTCAAGGTATGATTAAAAGTTTTATTTAATTTTTTCAAAAAATAATGCATGTACTTTATAATCATGATTTTTTCAGACTGCTGGAGATATAAGTGATATTCGACAAAAACGAATTGATGCAATGTACCAAATGAATTTGACACTTCAACCATATATTATTGGGCCTACTTTGGCAGAAATATCATCGTTTTTTATATCTGTTGACAAGATCTTATACAACGTAACATCTGCGTTTAGAGCAATCGATACTTTCAAAATCTTTCATGTGCTGAATATCGAATATCCGGCAGTAGCTCATCATATATGGATACTGATCCAACATGAGTTGTATAACTTTACAACAAAATACGATAAAATACCGTCACATATTTTAGAAATAATGAGTACGTTAAAAAATATTCTTTAAAATTTATGATAAAGTTTAAAATATTACAAAAGTTACAAATATTATTATTCATATAACCGTGGTCTCATATATAGTTCCTTTTATTTGATATTTAAAAACACATAGTTCCTTATGATTTATATTTATATTTAATTATTAATAAAGTTTATTTCATTTCTGCGATATTAAGTATAAAAAAACATTTTAAGTAATTAATAAAAATATAGTTTATTCTAAAATTTTATTTTTTACATTCTATTTTAATTAATAATATTAATTCAAATAGAATTATATTAAAATTACAATTCTATTAATAATTAATAACTAAAAATTTTTATAATGTATTCTTGCCCATTTTGCTTCGAATCGTACGGCTCTATTAGATGTTTGAAAGCACATTGTAAATTAAAACATCCTATAAAATTATATTCTTTTTTTCGATGTCAACAAGAAGTGTCAACAAAAATGTTGTGTTCTCGCACTTTTAGTGATATTTATAGTTTTCTTAAACATTTATCCAGAACTCATTTAGAAACTAATATTAAAGACAATATTGAAACCAATAATAAGACATTTTGCAATGACAATAATGTTTTAGATATTGATAAAAGTTTCATGGAAGAGATCACATTTAGTAATTTATCCTCACAATCAATGCCTTCTACTTCTTGTGCTATTAGTAATAGCGATAACAATTTTAAGGACATAACTGTTGTAGACCTTTAAAAAGAAAGTTATAAGCAAATTAAAAAATTGAAAGTATGCGGAAGAGGAGGCGCCCCAGATACGAATATATATAAAAATTAGCAGGGATTCGTTCGTCCACGATTTGCCCATATTAATCCAACTAAAATCTCCATTTGCCCACCTTGTAAAATATAGTTAAATAAAGAAAATAAGAAAAAGCAATTTGCTTACAAGAACACTTTTCTGAAAATTTAGCACTGTAATCGTTTGTCCACCCAAGAGAATCGAGTAATTAACAAATAAATGTTAAAATACATGACGACAACCGCTCTATGTAATGTGATAAAGTTTTCTGTAGATTGAGGGTTGGAATCGTTTGTCCACCCGCTGCTTTCGTTTGTCCACGCATTATACTCGTTTGTCCACCCAAGGGAATCGAGTAATTAACAAGAAAAAGGTGGACAAATGAAAGCAGCAGGTGGACAAACGATTCCAACCCTCAATCTACAGAAAACTTTGACATACCAGGTGTATGCATAAGTGTTTTCCGGTTTAACTAAGAGATGGCGCCAGCGAAAAGTACGCAGCGTATTAATTTCACACATACGTCATTTTGTTCATCTGACATTAAACTACAAGTTATTTTATTAAACTACAATTAAACACACACAAGTTGAGTCCGCCAAAAACTAGCGTCTTTCTTTTTTCGTTCAGTGATCATGTCGAGTTTTGTGCCTGAAAAAGAACATTTGCGGCACGCATTGCTTTTCTTATTTAATCAAAAGAAAAAGGCTGCTGAAAGTCAACGTTTGCTGGTAGAAACATATGGTGAACACGCTCCATCGATTAGAACATGTGAGACATGGTTTCGACAATTTAAAAGTGGTGATTTTAATGTGAAAGACAGTGAGCGCTCTGGTAGACCACGAAAATGCGAAAACGAGCAATTGCAGGAATTATTGGATGATGACCCAACTCTAACTCAACGGCAATTAGCAGAAGCATTACATGTATCACAAGAAACAATCAGCAGACGTTTACGAGCAAAGGGGAAGATCAATAAACTCGGTAAATGGGTCCCACACGATTTGAATGAACGTCAAATGGAAAATCGCAAAGTCACTTGTGAAGTGCTGCTTCAACGCCACGAAAGGAAATCATTTTTTCATCGAATTGTGACGGGTGACGAAAAATGGATTTATTTTGAAAACCCGAAGCGAAAAAAATCGTGGCTTTCACCTGGCGAAGCCGGTCCTTCAACACCAAGGCCAAATCGCTTCGGCAAGAAGACCATGCTCTGTGTCTGGTGGGACCAGAGCGGTATTGTGTATTATGAACTCTTGAAGCCCGGCGAAACCGTTAATACACAACGCTATCGCCAACAAATGATTAATTTAAACCACGCATTAATCGAAAGACGACCGGAATGGGCCAGAAGACATGGCAAAGTGATTTTGTTACACGACAATGCGCCGTCTCACACAGCAAAACCAGTGAAAGAAATCTTGAAATCGCTTGGATGGGACATCCTTCCACACCCGCCGTATTCGCCAGACCTGGCGCCATCTGACTATCACCTCTTCACATCAATGGGGCATGCGCTCGCAGAGCAGCACTTCAGCAATTTCGAGGAAGTTGGAAAATGGCTCGACGAATGGTTTGCCGCAAAAGACAAGTAGTTTTTCTGGCATGGTATTCATAAGTTACCTGAAAAATGGGCGAAATGTGTAGAAGCCAATGGCCAATATTTTGAATAAAACAAAAATTAATTTCCCTTGAAAATTACGTGTTTTTTATACCAAAAAACCGGAAAAAACTTATGCATACACCTGGTATGTGCATAGAACGGTTATAGTCAAGTATTTCAACTTTTTTTGTTAATTACTCGATTCCCTTGGGTGGACAAACGAAAATAATGCATGGACAAACGAAAGTAGCGGGTGGACAAACGATTCCAACCCTCAATCTACAGAAAACTTGACACATGTACATAGAACGGTTATAGTCAAGTTTGTTAATTTCTTTTTGTTAATTACTCAATTCCCTTGGGTGGACAAACGAAAATAATGCATGGACAAACGAAAGCAACCCTCAAACTACTAAAAACTTTATCACATTACATAGAGCGGTTGTCGTCATGTATTTCAACTTTTTTTGTTAATTACTCGATTCCCTTAGGTGGACAAACGAAAATAATGCATGGACAAACGAAATCAGCGGATGGACAAACAATTCCAACCCTCAATGTACAGAAAACTTGACACATGTACATAGAATGGTTATAGTCAAGTTTTTTAATTTCTTTTTGTTAATTACTCGATTCTCTTGGGTGGACAAACGAAAATAATGCGTGGACAAACGAAAGAAGCGGGTGGACAAACGATTCCAACCCTCAATGTACAGAAAACTTGACACATGTACATAGAATGGTTATAGTCAAATTTTTTAATTTCTTTTTGTTAATTACTCGATTCTCTTGGGTGGACAAACGAAAATAATGCATGGACAAACGAAAGCAGCGGGTGGACAAACGATTCCAACCCTCAATCTACAGAAAACTTGACACATGTACATAGAACGGTTATAGTCAAGTTTTTTAATTTCTTTTTGTTAATTACTCGATTCCCTTGGGTGGACAAACGAAAATAATGCATGGACAAACGAAAGCAGCGGGTGGACAAACGATTCCAACCCTCAATCTACAGAAAACTTTATCACATTACATAGAGCGGTTGTCGTCATGTATTTTAACATTTATTTGTTAAATATTCGATTCTCTTGGGTGGACAAACGATAATAATGCGCGGACAAACGAAAGCAGCGGGTGGACAAACGATTACAGTGCTTAATTTTCAGAAAAGTGTTCTTGTAAGCAAATTGCTTTTTCTTATTTTCTTTATTTAACTATATTTTACAAGGTGGGCAAATGGAGATTTTAGTTGGATTAATATGGGCAAATCGTGGACGAACGAATCCCTGCTAATTTTTATATATATTCGTGTATTTGGGGCGTCTCCTCTTCCGCATACTTTCAATTTTTTAATTTGCTTATAACTTTCTTTTTAAAGGGGAACAAACAAAAATTTTGGTTGGACAAACGTGGGCAAATCATGGACAATCCAGCGGTGTTTCGAAATTGAAGAAATCTTTTCATGGGGGTGCTGATATCGAAATTTCTTTTGCTCATAACTTTTTTTTGAAAGATGGACGAAGGAAAATTTTTGTTGGACAAACGTGGACAAATCGTGGACAATCCAGTGGTGCTTTGAAATTGAAGAAATATTTTCATGGAGGTGCTGGTGTCAACATTTTTATTTGCTCATAACTTTTTTTTGAGAGGTGGACAAATGAAAATTTGTGTTGGACAAATGTAGACAAATCATGGACAAACGAATGCTACTTGTGGTTTGTGAAAATTCGAATTTGGGGATGCCAGCTTCACAGAGCTCTCATCAAGGTTTACATAAGGTTGGAGTAGTACATTGCACTATCGGTGGTATCGGGGAACAATACGCGAGTACGTTCGAAAATATTTTTTTGATACAACTACATAACGTTACTGATTACGTACAAATTGGTAATAAGTAGATTTTTGCACCTCTCATTAATGAGATTAATAAACTTCAGACTAACGGTATAACAATAAATAAATCGGAAACTCGGAAAAAAAGATAAATTTTGCACTCATGAATATTCTTGGAGATAATTTAGGACTTCATGCTATTTTCGGGTTAAATACAAGTTTCAATTCTAATTATTCCTGTATAATATGCTTTGTAGATACATTAACTCGTCAAAAACAGATTCTTGAAGATGTTGAGTTACTTCGAAATGTTGAAAATTATGCAATAGATGTCAATGATAGAAATCATGGTATTACCGAGGAATGTACTTTTCATTCAATAACCAATTTTCACATCACAAAAAATCTCAGTGTTGATGTCATGCATGATTTATATGAAGGAATTTGTCGCTACGATTTAGGCCAATTGTTAAATAGGTTAATAAATAAGGACAAATTATTTTCTCTTGAAAGATTAAATAATAGAATTTATTCTTTTGATTACGGCGATAATCATTCTATAAACAAACCGCCTTTAATTAACATAAATGCTTTAAAAAATAAATATATTATTTATTCTGCGGCTGAAATGGCATGTCTTCGGCAATATTTAGGTTTGATAATTGGCGATCTTATACCAAAAAAAATAAAACTTGAAAATTATACATACTTCTTAGAAAAATGATGTCTATTATAATGGCAGAAGAAGTAACTGAGGAAAATTGTAGCTTATTGAAAAAGCTAACAAGTGAACATCATAAATTATATATAAATTTATTTGATGATGCATTAAAACCGAAGCATCATCTTTTACTTCATTACCCAAGAGTTATGCAACAGATAGGTCCTCTCAAATATATGTCGTCCATACGATTTGAAGCAAAACACAAAGAACTTAAACAGACTGCAAATGCTATTACATCCAGAAAAAATCCTGCATATTCGTTAGCTATGAAACATCAATTGCAATTAAATTGGAGATTTATCTCAAATAAGGGTTTAGAAAATCGTTTAAAGTGGGGTGTCATCTTACATGATAATTTGATGGATATCGATCTTTTCAATAATTTTAAGTGTATATTACCATTTGTTTCTTTTGACAGTTATAAATGTATATCTTGGATAAAAGTTAATGTAACTCTTTATAAACAGAACATGGTTATTATAATAGATAAAACTAATAGTAAATTTGGCAATATTCAATATATTATAAAAAATGATTCACATGAAACTTTCTTTATATGTAAGGAACTAAAAACAGTTCAGTTTGATTTTCATTTTTACGCATATAAGATAGAAGACACACAGTCTTGGATATTTATGCCTCAATCAAAACTTGAGACGTATAAAACTTGTAATAAACATTTTATTGAGGGGAAAAGATATATTCCAGTGCTTTGAAACTGTTTACAGTTTAATTATTTTCAAAACCCTTATTATACAAGGTGAGTCATAAGTATGTTTGGAAAACGCGTGAGCATGCTTCTGGATAAAAAGCAAGAACAATTCCTTATAGGGAAATTTGACGGAAAATGTTTAGTGTTTCTGAAAAATGGACAAAAAAGTTTAAAATACTGACTTTATTTCATAAGTATCTGATCAGATTCGTTCAGATGTGTTCTTTTCGTTTTGATTTTGTAGCAGTGTTTGTTTACAAACATACAACCCAGTGACATTAGAGGACACATTGAGCATCTTTTGTAAACATTTTGTAAATGACGATGCCATACATCTTTCAATCAGAGTTTTGTGTTAATTATTTTTATTTCATCCAAGAATATGCTCACCAAGTTTCCAAACATATACTTATGACAGAATCAAAATAAAAAGAACAAAAATACTTTATTTAGAAGTACGTATATAAGTATTTTTTTATATTTTACGAAAATTTTTGTTACGTATAAAGCTTGTAAGCATTTTATTGAGGATAAAAGCTATTTTCCTTTGTACTTTAAAGTGTTCATAGTTTATAATGCTGTATTGTTATATAAGCATATATATATATAAATGTTTTGTGATTATTCTATGATATAATAAATTTCTTTGTAATAGAAAAACATTAATAATTTCTTGAATTTTCTCACCTTTCACAATTACGTAAAGATATTTGTCAATATTAATCATAAAGTGCTTGGAATACCATTTTTCTGTTATTTTAGGTAATTGTTATAGATAGAATTCGTAAAATATATAAATATTGTTGTCAAATTTATTTGCGAAAATATTTTGCGTTATTTGTAACACAATTCCTAGTGCAACTGTCCATGTTGCCATATTAAAGTAATGTAATATTAAAACTCCTATCATATTCTATTACTTAAATTACATGGGTAATTTGCATTTGTAATTATTAATGTCTACTAATGTGATTATCAAATAACATGACAGTATGATAGTATTTGAAACAGTATTTGAAATCGTTGTTGTTTTAAATGGATATAGATTTTATAAAAGCTATTTATGTATTTCTTTCTTTTAAAGAGGAAATTACACATAATTTTCGATTCAATATAAACAATTATTCTTTACCTGTTTAATGTAAAGGTTAATTATTTACATTGAATTGAAAATTCTAATTTCCTCTTTTTTAAAGAATAATACATAAACAGCTTCTACGAATTCTACATACATTTAAAACAACAGCAACGATTATATGGGTCAAGCATATTGTTATGTTATTTAGTAATCACATTAATTGACATGAATAATAATGCTAATTACACATGTTATTAAAGCAATAGAATATGATAGCAGTTTTAACATCACATTATTTTAATGTGACAACATGAATAATAGTTGCAACTAGAAATTGTGTTACAAACAACACAATATACAATTTCGATAACAATATTAAATAATCTAAATAAATTCACTTGCTTTTAAAACAACCGTTTTCTTAAGCTTAGAGCAAGTATCTGTGGTTCAGCCAATCCTAAATATAATCCAGGTAAACATATAACTTGTCTATTGAATAATATATTCAGTCCAATAAAATATAATTAGATTAATATGATTATATGTATTGTAGTTTTATTTACATGTGCAATTTATTTAAGTATTTTTGTATTTAATTTTTAAACAAATTAATATATATCAAATAACAATGCTTTTAAAACA